AAGGTGGAGTGAGGACAGATTGTTGACTGGAGGCTAACTTTGAAATCAACATGTCTTTAGCACCATGACTTTGCACTTAATATAAAAAAATTATGTTGTTTCCTATCTGTATATTGTGTTAGCACTGCAATGCCTGTGATTTTTATCCAGCTTACTCACTGTAAAGTCAGACGCACACTTCTGAGGGTTGTGGTCCTGAGCAACTCCAGCAGCAATTGGATGGGCTGCCTGGAGTACACAACAGCTTGCTCCTTGAATATGTGGGTATAAATGTAGCTCCATAATAAAACTGGCACTATATGAATCTCTTAGTTGTTTTCTACTTTTGGAGGTACCATATAATGTCTTGGGATCATGTCATCTTATATTCCACTTAACAGACTTTGCCTTTAATAAGATTTTGCAGAATGCTTAGACTTCACTTTTAGTTACTAATACGTTTCCATGTTTTTCTGCAGAAAACAATTGGTATCAACCCTGTTTCTTAAGTTCTAAAATTGCAAATCTTTTACGCTAATGACAGAATTGTTGCTAACAAAAATACAAAAGTTTAGAGGGATATTTCTTTCCTTTTATTTTACATGACACCCTGGATTGCCAGATGTCCTGAAAAAATAGGAAGACTTACTCACTTGTGTTTTACAACTCCTTGGGAGAAGTATGGTCTAAATCTCCTTCTGTGTAGTGTTACTTTGTTCCTTTGAATGCTTTCAAATAGTCAGGGGGGGATGGCTGAGACACCTGAATTTTGTTCGTGGTCCAGCCCTGATGCTGTTTAAAGTTGTTTGACTTGCCCTGAGCTGATCTCTTGCCTACTGTAACTTTATCTATAACTCTACTCTGTAGAGTAGCACTAATTTAAGGTTAAAAAAACCAATAATTTGAGGTATTGTGGAGTATTGCTAGGAGCACAGAGCCTATACAATAGAGCTGTACTAAAACATTTTAACGGATCCTTAAAATGTGAAGCTGTCTGATGAATAGTTTAGCTTCAAGATACTTGGATTGTCTTTAAAGCCAACTTCTGTTTGTTTGTGTGGTTGGAAGAGTGGGAGAGGAGAAGCAGAAAAGAGACAAGCTTTTAAAGATTTCAGTGATAAGCCTCCAGGGCACAGGCTGGTTTAGAAGCAGACTGTAGCCTGAAACTAGGCCGCAGTGATATTTGTAGCTTCCTTTTTCCACTTTTCCTTGCTTCACCTTCAGACCGATTGTAAGGACGTGATTTATCGTAACCTGTCTTCAGCTGTTTAAAACTGATATGCCTAGGGGAAGACTATCACTTGGTCTCCCTCTATAGTCACCAGAGTGAGATAGATTTGATTTTGACACCAGTGTTTGGATAAGATGAATTGCCTGTTGGAGAGATGTAGATGACTCTATTGGCTCTTGAGGAAAACTAGAGGATAACGATCTATAGCTAAGTTGCTTGATTTTTAGGTGGCTGAAGTGCAGTGAATCTCACCCAGAGCATCTTATTTGCTAACATTGATTCTTCTCATCTGAAGAATACTCAGCAATGAGGAGAGACTCTAAATCCTCTTTCCCTAGGATCCTGTCCTCTGTCCAATACGCTACAGCTTTATTTTACCTAGAAGTACTTTTCTCCAGTTTAATCAACCTGTGGATTGCAGTTGGCACTTCAGTTACCTTGAAAAAAGCCTAAATAATTATTGCAAATAGAAGGAGGGCAGTAGCCCCTTCCTGTTTTGTGTCACCAAAACAGACAGATTTGTTAAGGTGTTTTTTTCTCCCCACTTTTTTTGTATATTTGCAGGTTTTTTCCCCCCAAACATCATAGTCTTACTCTAGAATTTCATTAGTGTGGTTGTGAACTCAAGTGAAATTCCCTTGGGATTATGCTGTGTTGCCATGTGAGTTCTGTGGTTTCATTTGTACTTTAAGTATTTATGTTTTAAAAGGGAAAAGGTGAATGCTATGTATTATGCTGTTTCATTTAACCAGTGCATGGAGCAACTTTCCCTCCTCACCTCACCAAACACAAATCATTTGGTTTGAGAACATGCTACAATGCTTGTTTTAAATTTAGTTAGAAGCAATTTGTAGCTGTATTAATACGTATCATTCTAATGGTCTCATCCTGGGAAGGTATGACACAGGCATAAAAATTGAATTTTCTCCTGAAAGCATGTAGGGCTGCTGGGGCTGTGTTGAGGTTTTTATCAGCAATAAACTGTGAATAGAAGCAATCAAAAAGAAAACAAGTAAAAAAAAAAAAGTGGGGGGAATGTGGGGGAAGGAAAAAGAATTGAAATGAAATGGTGCCCTTTGTCCAGAGGCTAGCCATTAGTTCCCCTTAATGAAGGCCTTTCCTTAACTCTGCAGATATTCCTTCTATGTAATTTTTTTAATAGGTGCTTCGTTATCTTCAATCTTCATTGACTTCAACTTCTGTGCCAGTGATTCACATAGCTGCTTGTTCCCTCCTGGCCAGTGTCACCACAGCCATTTTCCCCAGCCCTCCTGCAAGTTTTGTTAATGTTATTACAAAGAAATGGACTTTGTGTTTTCTGCAAATTCTGTTTTCTCTGACACAAATCTAGCATCTAGCTTTTTTTATGTACAAACCTTTCTCTAAATCTTCTACAGACAGATGTGGTATAGAATACCTTTTATTTTCACAACAATAGTTCTCTGCCTTTTAGCTTTCCTGACTTCTGACTTGATGGTGATGAGAATCATTATTGTGGCCTGTCATTCTCTATCTGTCAGCTGCCCTTTCATCCCTTCAGATTTCTGCCTGGCTCTCCATATATGTACGAGACATTTTTGTATAAGACTATTCATAACTCCTAGTTACTCCGTTTTTCTTTTGCCAGTTTTCACTCTTGGCCCATTTCAGTAACCTTGGAGCTCACTGGAGTCATGTAGAAAGATCTATCTGGTGGCCTTTCTACATGCTTGGAGAAATAAAGGCTGGAAAAGACTCAGTGATCCTTATTTTAGGGGAGATGTTCTTGTCTGGGGGTTTCCTAGCTTGTAAATTTTTCTGTGATGTTTTTTCAAAAGATGTTTGACTAGATATATTTATCAATTTGAGAGGTTAATATCCTACTGCACTGTTTCTTTGAATATTTATTATGCCATTAATGTTCCATTGAGCAGTTTATAATTCAAGGTGACCAAAAACTTTCTGGTTTCCTCTCTCTTGTCCTGATGGGACAGGATGGAAAAAAAAAAAAACCAAACCTTTTAGCCAGATGTAGTGAGTCTCCATACAAACACGCAAGTTGTTGTACTAATGGCTAGTAGGTCTAGTAACAAAAAGCTTACCATAGTCATCTTATTAATGTAAGGGCATGTTATATTCCCTTTTCATTAAACTTGGAAGTTTTCCCACTCAAGTAGGCTTATTCTGCAGTTTCCACATATTAACTGTGCAAAAGAATGCCTTTTCTTAGGTGCAGCTGGTTTTCTTTCTTTGAATTTTTTCCCTGAATAATTGTTCTGTGATGTGTCTTTAGTCTTGGTTTGTGATGTCTTTTTCCTGCTTGTTAATATTTACACAAATATTTTACCTGGAACCTTAAAAAAAAAAAATTCCAATTAACCTCTTAGAAGTTCTGATCTGTTGATATTTAAATGGGATATGCTGCACATCTACTTTTGGGTACTTTTCTGCAGCACAGGTATGTGCATTTGTGATATAGGTTTGGCTGTCAATATTGCACATGCATAGTCATGAGAAAATCTGGTGCCTTCTAAGATAAGAATAACGGAACTGCTGTATTAGGTGAGAAATATCTAGCCTACTGTGACGTTCTAGTGGTGTTTTGTTGTGTTCCATTGCCTTAAAGATTGTCAAGAAAATTAAAGGTCATTGTTTAATTACATCTGACTTTAGTAATGTTTACACTTAATTACAGAAGAGGAGAACTGGAATATAGTAACATGTATAGAAAACAGATGACAATGAAATGTTACTGGATTTACAGGAGAGAAAGACGGTCCTGCTAGCTTTGCAATAACCTGTTTCTGAATTTTGAAAAGTAAAATTATTTTAGAATTATGATTGGGATTGGATTTTTTGAATTTTGGCACTTTTCTTCTCATTATTTGGACTCCAGAATGGTACTTCATGCTGTTAATACCTGCTGCTTTTCAAAAATAACAATTGCATCAGAAACATGATTATATTGCAGGGTGGCTTTCTTTTTATTACAGAAAGTCACAGGCACAGTCTGTGACAGCCAAATAAAGAAAAGAAAATAGGGAAGAAATATCTCTTGTAGTTCAGAATAAGAGGGTTTTTTTGTGGATTTTTATTATGCCAGTCATTTATAGAACAAAATTTACATATTTTGCTTCAAGAAAAGAGTACTATGGGATAATAATAATACATGGATCATGATTTGGGATATAAAAGAGTAGATGTTACAAAAATAAATAATAATGAGGGAAAATAAGGATAATAAAAGCAGTGAAATTATGTCAAAGCAAGCAGAAGTAGGATGATTATGAGTAAGGCACGTTGTCGGAGTCTTGTATTTAAAGGAAAAAGGTGAGATGTGAACTTGAAAGCAGGAATGAAAAGTAATTTGGCTGCTCTGTGACTCTGTGTTCCCCAGTTCTACAGATCATGCTGTGAATGATTAAAGTCGCTGGGCTTGGTTTGTGATAGTTTTGCTTACTAGGGGGAACTTGAAAGACAGCGATTCCACATAATTTCAAGGGAAGGTCCTTAAAATACAGAGAGATTTCTGTGGGCCTTGTATAAATACTGAACCATGTATTTACTAAGTGATTTTCAAATGTCTATGTAATTTTAATTTCTCTTATGTTGTTAACAATATGGAACAAGATAGAGAATAATTCATTTGGGTTTGTTTACATTTTCAAGAGAACCAGAACTTTTTTCCCCACTTTAGCAGAATTTCTTAGAACCTAATTAGAAGATGACTTGACAAATCTGCTCCCCAAAACTAACTAAAGCTGTTGTGTTTCTATGGTCTTTATTCTATATCTTGTATCCTCTCTTTTAGGTGGCCAGTGCTTCTCTTGGGGATGGAACGAACATGGGATGTGTGGTGATGGCACAGAAGCAAATGTTCATGTCCCAAAGCCAATCAAAGCCCTTGGTTACGCAAAACAGATCTTAATTGGATGTGGGGCAGGACACTCCATGGCTCTTTGTCAAACTCCACGTTAGACTCAGCACACCTGAAATCATAGCATCATGGATGTGGACGGACATCTTTGGATTGCGTAGCTCAGAAGTGCTACAAGAGGATTGCCCATGATTAACACAATAGTTGGAAAGTGCAGAAGTAGTTTTTTCTAAGACTAAAAGGAACAAGTATGCACAGAAAACTATAATATTTTAAAAGTTGTTTCATGGGTCCTTTTCACAGGAATTTACTTTCTTACCCACAGATAGAGTGACAAACATTTTGCTTTGATGCAATACCATTGAACAAAGAATGACTTTTTCTTGTTCTTCTGAGAAGTCTTTGAGGAAGAAACAGGCTGCTTAATTGCTTATCATTGGTGTGTGATATAAGGAAATGGTCTGAGAACGTAGTGACATAGGGCCCCTTCTGGTCTTTTATTATTGTATCTTTATGTCATGATGAGCATGCATTGCGCCTGCCAACTTCTACTGGAGTTGTGAGCTCCCAGCATCTCAGAAAATCCAGTTTGCATCATAGAGAAATGCCAGTGAACATAAATAGATGCATACACACATTTTAAACAGAAGATTAGGATTTAAAAAAAAAAGGAAGTATAATTTAGAAGGCTGGCAAAAGGGGAAAATGAGGCCCTTCTGAACTAGCTATACCTTGATTAAACTGTGAAAGGAGCAATATTTCTGAGGAATTATCTTCTGTGCCAGACGTCAGTTTATTATAGGTTTACAGGGATGCAGATCTGCATGAATTATCATTAACTTGCAAACCAAACTTGAAGTTTCTGAAGCTACTGCTTAGGGAAGAAAAAATTCTAAGAGCTCTTGGAAACAATAGAAAAGTTCTTGTCAAAGGGCATAAGTCAGTTGTAGCTGTTGAGGACCATTTGATCTGACATAGCTCCTGTGTTTCCAGCTGCCTTTGAATAGGAAGACATCAAAATCTAAACGGAAAGTTTTTACAAGTTCTCCAGCCTAAAAGGCAAACCAGAATGCTCCTAATAATTTCAGGTTAGTTCTCACATCTGTTTCGCAGCCCAGCTGAGTTATTGTTCAGAGCATGCCCACAGTCCTTGTTCCAGGTGAGTGCTTGGCAGACAACGTAGGCCTAACACTTGTTTTGGTAGGAGAAATGAAAAAGTGTAAATTATCTTCGGATATTATTAGCTGCCTATGTTGAGCAGAATTTTGGAAGCTATTTATAAAACTGTTCTTCACACAAATACAGTGGATGCCTTTAAACTGGATGTTTACCACCCACGATAGTTACATTTGCTGTGGTATTTGATGTATTTCAAGTTCTAAATATAGAGCATACTACTGTGTGGTAAATGCACCTTTTAATGAGACCTACTGTTGCTAAACAGTGGTTTAATTTTTAAAGCAGGCTTGCCAGGGAAGAAGCCTTACAGAATTACAAAATACTCAAGAGAAGGGCTCTTAGGAAATAGGACAGGAAGACTTTCTAATGATGTATCAGCTTACACATGAGGGGGGAAGGAATTAAGGTGGTAATACAGGCTGCGAGGGTTTTCTTCCCCCCTTGGTTTTACAGCAGTTATAGTTCATGGCCTAATTTTCAAAGGCATTTTCTTTTTCTATTCAATGGATGAGAAACTTGAACTGACTATGAAGCTGTTTCTAACTGTATTACAGATACTGAACGAATCTGTAAGAATAATCAAATGGGTCCTCTGCAAAAAGTGCAGAATTGAGACTTCTACTGTAAAGTGTTTTTCTTAATCCATGGTTGTGGTTCTTCATGGCAATATACTGTTCCGGGCTGTGACCTCTTGTACTTTTTACTTATCTAAGTTGCTATTTATTGACTCAGTGCCATTTTCTAGCCTCTCTTATTATATGCACTGAACAGTTTCTCATGCTTTTTTTGGCAGTTCTGTCTGAGGTTTCTACCTTTGTTGTCCCCCAAAATCTGTGTACCGAATAAACATACTATCTTGTTCCAGTAATCATACCCTCTAAATAATTCTGTTCCTTGATTAATCACAGCTAGTATGTGTGCCCTATAACATAGGGGTCACTGTACTGAGCATATTTTGACTGTGTATGCTGTTGCTGCGGTTCATTTCAGAGGAGTGCCACAAATTATGTAACAAATAAACGTGACTTGGTTATTTGAAATGTTGTTCACTTTTTCACCTCTGTAACACGAACATACTTTTGGAAACGCAAAGGATAATTTGGGGTGATAAGGAGGAAAGAAAGGAGTACTTTGGTTTGTTCCTGGTCCTGATCTTGTGTTTCATATCTGCATCTGATCTTCATCTTTGAAAGGGCAAGAACTGCATTTTCTCTCCTTTGTTTTGCCTGTATAGGTTGAAAACTTTGGGAGGTAATGACTTGTCTTGAGAGCTTGACGTACTAAATGCTTTGTCGTCGGTCAGGACTTCTAAATGCTGCTGTAGTATGAAGAGTGAATAATAATTTATTGTAGACGGTACATGGTTGAATGTCAAAAACAAGTTGTTGCTCATCCATTCAGAAATGAATGCCCTGTTTTGTATGTCAGTATGCTTTGTTTGCAGAATAAAACATTGTACAAAATCAGCTAAGGCTTTCTACTGTGAGGAAGGGAGCACACAGTGAAAAGCTCCTAATCAAGTGAAGAAGCCTCCTTCCTTGCTGGTGTCCAGAGCTTAGTGACTGTTATCTGTTGATGTCCTGATGGAGAACGTCAGTCTGCGAGGCAAAATGCAGAGCCAGTCTGCTATGCCAATGCTTCTGCAGTGCATGCAAAGACAGACTTCTTTATGCAGGTCTTCAGTGCTAAGCAAAGAAAGCCTTTTATATAAGTATTCTGCGTTCACATTCAGATGCAAATAAACTGACAAGGTTTATAATACATATATATATAACACTGGAACAAGGTAAGCAAGTGTCTGTGCAGCTGCTCTCCCCTCCCATTTTCTGAAAATAAGCAAACCTGCTAATGAGCTGACATTCATGAGGCAAAAACGTGAACTTAATATCACAGCTTTGCTGGAGAACAGGTTGTGAACTGTTGACCTTCAGCCCAGAGAGCTTTCAGACTCTTGGTTGGAGGGGGAGGAGGCTGTTTTGTGTACTTCTGTTGTTTGAAGGCCTAGGAGGTCTGCAGTTGTTATTCATGCAACCTCTATGTGGACCTGTGCAAGACACTCCTGTTCCATTTTGAAGAATGTTGGTAGGAAGTGTGTGTTCTGTCAGAAGTTTCTGTCTCTTGGAGGATTTGTTTAGGCCGCTTGGCAGTCACTGTGACTTGATGCTTTTCTGCTTAGAATGCTGGACCCTGTATTTGAAGTGTGTTCATTTGAAAGAAAAATTCAGTCCTGCCTTTCTTCCCATTTGTCCAGTCACCACTTCTTACATGACACTGGCTTCCCTCCCCTATCTGCATGTTGCCAGTCCTGTTGGTGACTAACTAGTTCTTGCCATCTGCAACCGCCATAAAGGTCACTTCTGCATGAGTGACAGGAGGTTTTGCTTGGCTACATGGCTGAGCACAGAGAAATTGGGGCAGGGGGGAGAGAAGGATGTGATTTGATTTTGCTTTATATGACACTTTTTTAGTCCTAGGACTTAAAGGTGAGGATGGAAAACAGATGAAGGAGATCAGTTTGAATGTATGGGAGAAAGGTGACCATGGAAAAATATTTAAATGAATGGCAGTAGAGAGCCTGACATAGTCAGCTAAAACATAGGGGAAAAGGAGGGTGGAGGGGGAAGACGGATTCCAGATACAAGTCCTGTAGACTGAATAATCACAGAGGGATAGTAGTATTCCAGCCTGCCAGTATGGTGGGAGAGAGATGAGGGACAAGCTATTCTATTTCTTGGATGTTATTGTTCCCCCTCTCCCACTGTTTGTTAATAATAATATAAATTATTGACGAGCAATGGTTTCCTTTCTCATTCATAGCACATCTTGAAATTTCCAGTTCTCTTCAGTTGAAACAGCAACATCTGTCCTCACCTTCCAGTCCCAGAAATATTTAGATCAGGCCTGTGGCGTAGTCCAGCACTTAATCAAATACTTACTATTTTTTCCATTAAAGTCCATGAGCTCTGGATCAGATTTAAACAAGACTTAAGTAATTTTTGGACTTCCACTTCCTTTTCCTCTGTATTAGAAATCAAGATGATGACAGATCTTTGTCACTGAAATTGCGATGTTACGTTTTCACCAAAAAGTCCCCTGTGTTCTCTTAGCAATTTTGATATTTTTACGACATATGGCAAGTCTTGTGCTTTTTCTTTTAGCTAGATATTTTCTTAAAAAAGGCTCCAGAATTTTTCATCTGTATTTGAGTCATGCTCATGGTATTTACTACCAGCTTATAGTTCAGAGCAGCTGAAAATTCTGTAAAGGGAAGAAGAAAATACTGAAGCGGAAGACGTAAGTCTTGCTTCCCAAAGACTGGGAATGGATGCAGTCTGTGGTAGAGAATCATCTTGTGTGGTTTTGATTGCACTTAAAAGTGTGCACAGTAGAAAAGTGGAGCTTACGCTGAATTTGCTGAAAACCCTAGCTGACACAAAAATAATTGGACATTTGAACTTTTGACATATCAATATCTTGATTTATGTGCAAAAAAAGAGGTAGTACATTCTTTGTTCTTTCCTTTTAACATTTGTGCTATTCTTAATTCCTGGTAAGTGCTGGTCTTAGATGTTTTGCTCCATGTTAGAAAGAATGGTTTAATAGCCTTGAATTAAAATGCTTCAGTTGTATGGAAATGGCCTTCTGTTGGATGAATGTCCCAAAAAACAACTGTGAAGGGAGGTGTTTACTATACGTGCCTTTGAAGTTCATTTGGAGAAACTGCATATGTAAAGCTGTTGTTATTTTGTAACCCATTTAGAGGTTGAAGGGACTGAAGTAAGGCACATTCTTTAGCTGTTTGTGCATTTCATTCAGATTCATAGAATCATAGAATAGTTTAGGTTGGAAAAGACCTTTAAGATCATTGAGTCCAACCGTTAACCTAACACTGCCAAGTCCACCACTACACCATGTCCCTAACCGCCACATCTACACAACTTTTAAATACCTCCATCTGTCAGTTGTCTCTGCATTCACCTGTTTTTAATGCAGAGGCAGTTTTTACTCATCAGTGGCTCTGTAGAACATGGAAAGAGAGTATGTGACTGAAAATACTCAGCAATGAAAATGGTCTCTGTATTTGAATCATGACCTGAATGAACCATGTGTTACCTTGTGGGAGAGTGGGGAAGCATAAATTCAGAGTACTGGGAGAACACATTTTTCAGCTTGATTAGAAACAAGAGCAACAAAGTAATTATTCCAGAATAAAAGCTGGCTGTGGGGATGAGAAAATTGAGATGATGTTTATTTTGCAAAACTTCCTCAGGCATTCTTATTTTGTGACATGTCAGATTTCAATTTGCTTTCAGATGAGCCTTTGCAGGTTGGGAGGGGGTTGAGTCTAAGTCCAATTCCTGTGTTGGCTAGCCTCTCAATTAATTTTCAGCTTTCTCATCTGTTTCCAGGTTGCTATGCCTATGGACCACCTTGTTATTCAGATACAATGCAATCTTGGGGGGAGTTCTGTCTGCAGGGTTTGGGATCAAGACTTTGTCAGTGGAAATTGCAGAATTTCAATTCGGTATGATTCCAGTACTCCCTGATCATCATAATATTTTAAGTGTATGTGAACACTTTGCTGTAAGACTCTGCATTTTTACAATTTTTTATATTTAGAAGTGGGGCCAAGAATTGGGAGATTTTTAATATTCTGACATGACTTTAGTTTTTTGCTGCAAATGTCAAATGAGTTTAGCTTTTGTTTTGTTTTTACTGATTTGAATGCATGAAGACATGTGGTACCTAAATTAGGGCAGCAGAGGAGTTGCCAATCAGTAATGAAGATGCTCTGTCATTTTAACTGTGTGGGTGCTTAATAATTTTCCATAATAATCCTCTGCTTTAAAGTACAAAAGAAAAGGGATTCCTATAGGGGCATTGTGCTCTTCTGCAGACATGGAAACATGGCATCTTTTAAAAAAATGGAGAGACGCTTCTCTCCTCTGGTGCCGTAATTCTGAGTAGATAAAATATAATAACTATTCCTACTTAAATACTGCTTTTCCTCTTTTGACCTCAGAACACTTTAAAAAGGGGATAATGTCACAGAAACAGAAGCTGAGGCACAAAAAATTGAAATGCCCCAACCAAGGTAACCCAGCATGTCCACAGCGGAGCCAAGAATAAAATTCCCATCTCCTGAGTCCCAGACCAAGGCTCTACCTTCTAGGCTAGTGGTCCTTGATGGTTTTTTTTAGGTAAGCCTCACTGCTACTACTTCCCTCTCTCCTTGCTGCTCTTTCCCCCTCACCACTGATTGCTGTTTCCTCATATGCTCCCCTCCCTCCTACTTGCACAACCCATTTTCCTGCCCCATCCTGTGTCCTTCTCCTCATTTCCCACCACTTGTGCTACTGCCACCTCTTCTCCAGTCACCCACTTGCACTGACACCACCACCGCAAAGCATGGCTCCTACTGAGCTTATTTGCTTGGGCTCAAGCCCTGTGTCTTCTGTTCATTGTGGTGTGACTCACTGCCAGCAGCCTCTTCATAGGCTGTGTTGTCCCTGCTAAGCCCTTTGGGTCCAGAAGCTGTGCAGGTACTTTACAGCGATGTCTGTGCTAACACAACTGCAATACTTTGCCTTTTGCTGACTGAGGAATCTCTAACCTGTGCTCCATGGGCAGTAAAGAAACCAATGGAAGCTTTGGAGCATGCGGTCTTAGTATTTGGTACCCGGAGATGTGTGGACCTATGTACTTGCATAAAGTTTTTTAAATGCTCAAGTGAATGCCGAGGGTTGAAAACTTGGCTTTGTCAGCCTGAACCAGGGAATATATCTTTCCATGGGGGCAGATGAATGTACTTAGTTTTAAAGCATTTGCTTTGTCAGATAAGGAAAGAAAGTCAAGCGATGTGGTTCTGGATCCATTTTCTAACTTGAAGTTCAATTTGAATTCAAATATTGTTCTTGATTGCAAATAAGCATTTATATTCCCCTAAGAGAGAAATGTTGCACCTACAGTCCTAGATGAATGCAGATGCTTTGGGACTTCTGAACAGACAGGTATTTTACGCCCAAACTCAAATAATTGAGTGACTTAAAAATAACCTGCATAATTTAAGCACGTTTTCATGAAGTGAAGTTAGTTTGTGTGTAAGCTCAGAGACAAAGTTGCTTCCAGGATATATATAGAAAGCAGAGAGGTAGGCTGCCTTGCTTTGAAACTATGAAAAGGATATGCAAAGTGGCAGGGTAATAACTGCACTTGTGGTTTTTTTCAGGATATCTTTTTTGTAAGCAGCACTGTGCTCGGTTCCTTTCTGAATGCTCTTTCCTTAACCCTGCTTTGCTCTCTTCTGTATTTCAGTCTGCTCATTTGTTCTAGCAGCCATTTGTTTCAGTGATGTATTTTCTTTTTGGCCCTGAAACTTTAAGGAGAGAGAAGGCAATTTATGTGAAAAATCACTTTATCCAGATTAATGACTGCTGCGCTTGACTGTTATCACAGCAGTATTAGCTAGATTTTTTTATTGGAGTGGGAGAACAGAAACCACTTCTCAGATCCTTGCTGTCTGAAATTGTAGTTGCGGAGACACATCAGGCTGGTCCAGAAAAAACTAGTACCTTCATGCAGTCAGAGGAAAAGCTGTATGTGTAGAAGGTGTGGCTGAGGTGTGCTTTTAATGTTACCAGGTAATAAAACACTAATTGCCAGTGGGTTCAGATGAAGGACCAGCATCAGGACCTATAGCTGGGGGTCCATTGCCGAAAGCTGAGTTTGCAGAGAAGAAACCCGGATGTTCATTTCCAGCAGGAAGCAGGCAGAGTGTAAATGATCTACAGAACACGCTTCTGCTCTTACTTACGATGGTGTGAAGTCAGAAGTAGTCGGTGGTGGTGTTGCAAGCCTGAGGTCAGAATCTAGCCATGTGTATAGTTTTAATGCTTTAATCAAGATAGCTACCTCCTGTGGTAGGAGTGGGCAGGCTTGAAGGAATTGATGTTTTAATCATACTACCCCATCAAAAGCTCCTTAAATGTAAGGCAGCTGGGATGACGTGGTAAATTTCTCTTAGGATTCAGTGTCAGGATTCGGTGCAACAGCTTCTGAAATTTTCCAGTTGTCTCCCTCTTTCCCTGTGTTGTCAGAGCTGCCACTGTTGTGCAAGGGGAACTCTGGGGTCAGATGGACCTTAAGCTTTAGAGCATCTCCTGAAGGGCGGTGGATGGGAAGCGCTGTTCTGTTTCTGAAGGGTTTGTAGAAGTCACCCAAAAGACACGGTTACCTCAAACCAGAATAAGCTGAGAGGAGTACCTCAATGAAAATGGGACTGGTAGATGTAAAAAGTAGCACAGAATGACAGTTGTCTTAGGGCATGTGTACCCAACCTGTTAGCTAAGGCTCATATATATGCAAAGCGCAGTGGAAGGGAAAGACCTATGTGGTACTTACAGGGCTGAATTGTTAGTATTCCTGATGGTAATAGAGAATTTGAGCAGCCTTCACGCTGGGCCCTTGAGTTAGAGTTAAATAAAAAATGGGGTAGATAAATCTATTTCTGGGTTTTTAATACATTAGAAGAGGAAAAATTGTTCATTAGGCAACTTCTGGATCCTAGATTAACCTGGATCTTACCTCTGGAGGTAAGAAATTGCCCATTTGTCAGCTGAGAATAACAGCATAGAAACAGTGGGAGAAAAATAGTTCTTGGGAGAAAGGAGAGTCAGCTGAAGTAGAAATCAAGTACATAATGCTACATCAAGGACTACAAAGCAGTTTTCCAATTAAGTACAAATTCAGATTATCAGCCTTTCTTCTATTCCTAAAACACAGCTTGAGGTCTTCCTTGATTTTCTTTTTGGAGTAGAGTTTTGTGAAGACAAGGTCCAGCTGCGGTTGTTTTTTTGTTTACAATTTAGCACTTACCAGAGCCATGAGTGTTTCTTCTGGTTTTTTTGGGTTTAATCTCTACTTCCTCCAGACCTTAGGGATACTATTCCTTTACATTTCCATTCTCATCAGCAGTCGCAGATGCCATCGCTTGCCTAGAAGATTGGCAGCTCTTTTGAAGTTCCTCACATGAGGATAAAGGTGTATCCCTCCTTATAGAAGTACTTTACCAAAAATGCTCAACCAGAATGCTGTTGACCATAGTCCATAGTTGTCATTTGTAGCATCTAAAATGAAATTTAATCCCATTGTGTTTCTCAGTTCTTACTGCTGCATGTTTTGTGTGGCAAATAAAGTGCGATTTGGACACCTGGATTTCTTTCAGAGTTTCGTATCAGGTGGACTGCTGTGGCTCAGTGAAGAACAAGTGAAGGACGGGGCCCAAAGAAGTAAGAAAAACTGAATTCATTTAATCAGCTAAAAAGACAAACTTTTATTATTGTTGGGGAGGGAAAAAGAAGATACCTAGATAATTATAGGGTTTTTTAATCTTCCCTCATAAAATTACTAATGGTGTGAATTCTTCAGACGTCGGTTGTATCAAGTGTTTGCAGGCTTCGTTTATTATCTACTAACCAAAATTAGCATTGTAGAACCAAAGCAATACCAAGCTTTTCTCCTACATTTCTGTTGAGAACACTGTATTTATTCAAGATTTTAGAAGCAAGTCTCTGGAAACCCCTGATCGCTTCAGAAAAGGATTCCCCTTTACACTATACAGCAGGCACTGAAACCATGATACAAAATTTATTTCATGCTAGAATTGTTTTGCATAACATCGTGCATGCATTTTACTCAGTACTAAATTGCATACAATGCTGTTGTCTTGTTTCTTAAACTTTGAGACGATTTATACTTGAGTATTTTCCTGATTTTGTACTATAAGTCCCAGTTTTAAAATAACACCTCTTTTGTTTAAAATTCATACTGATTACTTAATATGAACAATTTATGAAGGGTCTTTACGTTGGATCTATACATCAATAAAATACAACATAACCAGAGCTGGAAAATTTAAATCTAGACCAGCTGTTACTGTCAGGTCCAAAGGAAGGTCCCATGTGTCACAAGCATGCCAACAAAAACAGACAGGAAAAAGTTTTTCTTATTTTTATACACTTCTAGTTGGATTAAAAGTTCTTGTTTTCCATGTTGGTGTGATGAACTGTGAAGGCGTGGTCAATATGACCGATGACTGCCTGATTGCACTTTTTAAAACCATTACTCTGTATCTTGTATACAAAAAGAAGCGATCCATAGCAAAGAAATGTACAGTTTTATAATGTTTTACATTTTGGCTACAACAATGTATGTAAAAGTAAAGAGCTTTGAAAGAAAATATATAACTTTGCTTTTTTTTCTCCTTAATCATACATTTGCAGTGTTTCTTGTTTTTTGTTTTTTGTTTTTTATTTTTGTCTTCATGCAATTCATGCTATGGAACAAAAAAATAGATTAAAAAAAAGGTTCTTCTACAGTTTTGTTACATTTTGGCCGTAGAAAAAGCCTGCATCTCTAGTACAACTCCAAAACCACGAAGAATCATCCATAAAACCTGCATGGAGCGAGTTAACTTTGTCCAAATGAGAAGGTCTTCTATGCCTGCACAGTGCCACACAGATGTTTATTAGCCATCAATGTTCATCTCCATCTCGCCTTGTCAGGTCACTCTGACTGCCTCTGTTGGCATATATTTAGCAATGACTGGACTTTCTTTGCAAAGATCTGCATGTAAAGAATACAATCAGTACTTGAGCTTCTTCCCTGCGCTTTTCACATCAAGCTTGGCATCTTAGTTTTAAAGGAAGGAGGAAAAGGTGAAATAGCTACATGCAGAGGCAGCCATATTCTTCTTCAACAGGATTTTTTTTCCATGCAGTCAGCCAGACTGAGACCTCTCTACAGTGTGTCTGAGTATTGCTTTCAGCTTAAAATAGGCGCCCATGCAAAGTTTCATCCTACTGTGCTTGTTTGCTCAAACTCCTGCAGGGTTCCTATGGCTCAAAAATATCCTGAGAAAAGCAAAATCTTCCATCGTTGGCATGTTTCAGCATCGACTAAATGCCTAACCCATTCCATACAGAGCCAGTAGATCCACCATTAGCCAAAATAAGCATATACTAGCAGGATGCACCAGGAAGGAAACTATCTGGTGCATCTACCCTTCATCCCATGTACTGATACCATGCAGCACGTATGGCCCACCAGTACTACGTAAATGCCTGCCTATTGTCATCTGAGTGCTATTTAGGAGTGTTGTCACCTAGCATCAGTAGTAACACCATTCCCAGCAGGTGCTACTGTGAGACATTGCATCTTCAGACTTAGTCACCTGGATTATATGCAACATAGCATAGGCTAATTGAAAATAAAGCTTTTTAGACCATTCTCTGCTACTGATCCATGCTACAAAATAGATGGGATGGGAGACCAAGAACGTCTCACTGGACTAGGAGAGCTGTAGGGCGCAGACACTGAGGATAATCCTATCGCTTTTCCACTTATGCCAGCTATGCTGTTAAGGCTCCGTGACATTTCGTAACCTTCATTTAAAAGAAAAATGCAAAGTACAGCATTGGATCAATGACAGAATGGACTAAGAATGAGGTCAACATTGTAGCCAGTTCAATAGCATCTGCATGCACAGACATGCCGAGAGTAGTATCGCTTGCAACGTGACTCAGAAGGCCATTGAAGTACAGAACAAGTTTAAAAAATACATATATATTTAAAAAAAAAAAAAAATCATCATTTCTCAAGGATGGTCAGGCTATGTAATTGATCCTACAGGCAGCAACATGGTTGTACCCTAAAAAAAAAAAGAGTCAGTGGGAGGGGTTTTCTATGTCTCCATCATACACTCACGCATACCTCTCCCTTCCACTTCATGCATTTTGGCCTCAGGCAAAATTACAGTTACTGGTATCTTTGGGGCTGGGAGGGGAAAAAGGCAGCAAAATCCATAGAATTTATTGTGTTGCTATAGAGATACTACTCCTTTGTTCTCAGCGTTTAAAAAAAAAAAAAAAAAGACAAAATTGCACATTTGGTTTCCCTCCCTCCCTCCCCCCTTCTTTTTCAGACATGCATGTAAATAGCTCAGCAAGTGTACAGAGAGTTGCACAAACTATGGATGAAATTCTGTTGGAACAACAATTAAGATGCTCTCAACGTGTTTCAAACAGGCCAACAATATGCTGACGTATATTACTCTTTAGCCAACCAGCCTCTGTTTCATTCAGTAACGAGAGGCAGTTGCAGTGCATTGTGAAAACCATACATTCCTCATCCCAAAGGATGTGCCATTTGGAGTGTTCCCCTGATCCACTGGAACCACCCAAACTCGCCCAGGCTGAATGAACGCGGCCAATGCCTATCCAATACAGAATCAAGTAAAATGCTTTGCTACAAAGGTAAATTTTAGAGGATATACTTTCATATGAAAGTCTTGTGGTCCAACTATATCTTTGTTGATGATAAGCTTTAAACTTATAAATACATACACTATCTATAACTGGCATTTGCTATAACTATTGCCCATCATACAATGGCACATGGGAATTCTATACTCCATACTCAGTGTATGGTTACATCATACAATCTTTGCCATTTTAAAATATTGACTATATCATATACTATATACAGTACACCAGTGATAAACACTGATTTGAAGAGAGAGATTTCTTTTCCAATTTTCCCATTCCTTATCAACTTTGATGCATATATATGTAACTAATTTTGGTTTGTATGGTTTCCTCATATTAAATTATTTAAACAAAACAGCCTAGTTTAAGAAGGGAAGGGTTTTTTCATTTGATTTGACTTCTGTTGCTAAATAGATTATTCTGACCATTAGCAAACTAAAATGCAGTTACTTCTGAGAGATCTGTAGCTGTCAGAAGTCTGAGAAACTAACTAGTAATGATTTATTTATGAAAGGAAATTGATTTTAGATGGATTATTTTCCAATTGTAAGACACCTGCACTAACAGATATTCTTGTATGCTTCTCTTTCTCTGTTGAACTAAACAGCTATGAATATCCAAATAATTTGTTTTAGTGCTCTGTTAAGGTAGCCGAATAATCATTTCATATTTCTTCAGGATGTTTTGCTTTTGTGTTTTATCTTTTCTGTCTGCCATCTCCAAGTCTGTGCTCCTCAGAGTCTGGTAAGATCTGTGAGCTTTCCAAGTGGCAAACCTTCATAGCTATGAAATGTTAATTGGCCTCTCCTTGGAGGATGGGCTAATTTAAGGACATTGTAGAGCATCCTCCACCAAAGCTTACTGCACCAGCTGGGGTGGAAGACTTGACTGCCTAGCATAGCTGCATGGGGTAGTTACAGCTCCTCAGGCTTTTCTTTCTGAAAGAAATAGGTTAGAAACTCCAAATGCAGACATCAGGTGGTGGTTTCCAGCCCAAACGTGCATCTCTACAGCAAGCGCACTATTGCGTGCTACAGCTACAGCTGACTTTCTCTTATTTATTTAAAACGGTTGCTAACTACATGGTTCCAGGACCCCAGCTACATACCCTTTCTTATTCCTCCATCAGGCGGGCAGGGATATTCCCCGGTTGATAAGAGGAAGCAGGGTCCATATCTCTCCCGAGTGCCAGAGCGGGTAAAGGGCAGGCCCTCATCAGGCGTAATAGCCTGGTCTATGTGGGGACAGTCTTCGTTTGCCAGCGCCGCCTTGGCCACCTCACCATTCAGTTTCGAATCTTCAAACATATAAGCAGAAGGCTATTGAAACACTATGCACTGTTTATTAGAATTCCAGCTGCAAATTAAGGGTTCACAGCTAAAGAGTTCTATAGTGACACTATAAAAGGTAGCACATCTGTCCTAGACACTGCATTCATGTGAACTGAACCAAAATAAAATAAAGTCTGTTAAGTGGGAGGAGAAACAAAACACGATCGTGTTAGTGTAATAGCAGCCACCTGTACTTCTGCATAAGGGGGCAGTTTCAGAAACGGGCGTGCATTGGTTCCTAGTCCTGCGAGCGGAAGACTGCGGTTAGAAATTGGATTATGTTTTTGCATGACATTGGATGGTGCATGAATGACCTGTTTTTCATGAAGCCTACTGTCGCTCAGAGCTTTGGAGAGGCAGTGGACTGTGAGTTGTGTTTGAGTATTTGAGTATATTCTGTTTGTGCTGATTTATACCTGTGTGCAATATTACTGAGGGGAAAATTCCTGCTCCTCCCCTCCCTAAAATTTACCCAGATTGTTTTATAGCGTTTCCGGTATCAGTCGTGCAGAATGGCTGTACACATTTTAGACACACAGAGTACATAACACATGGAAATACGACAGCAGAATGTGGATTTTAAAAAAAGTAATCCATCTTCTGATGTTCTCTTCTGAAACACATACAGTATTTGCAATGCCAGTACAGGATACTACATATAGAAAACACTACAGCAGGCCATGAATTTGGAAAATAGAGTAAAATTTACTCTCGACTGTAAATAATGAAAATAGGTTGTCAGATTTGCCCATTTTGCTCCACAGACTCCCATGAGGATAGACTGAGAATAGTATGTTTTCTCTGTGTGACTTCTTTGATGTTTATAAAACAATTTAAAGTGCTATTTAGTGTAGGATTTATTTTAAGGTTTTAAAGTGCAAATTAGTGTATTGAGAATATACTCGAAATATGGCACAGCTCGATATGAGTATTTTGGTTGAAGGGAGGAAAAAAACAGTCAAAATGTGCTCTCAAGTTTCATAAATGCTGAGATATGTTAACTGAGTGGTATTGGCAGCATCCTACACCTCGGTTGCACAATGCTTATTACCTAGATACTGTAAGGCAATGGGTGGTCCTGCAAGTCTTTAAGGAAAGACAAACTCAAGGGATAGACTTAATTTCAGTGCCTCTTCCAGATTCTCATACTAGCTTGTTCTGAATGCTACATGATACTGTCGTTTATTTTCAATGGTTTTGAAGCCAAGTAATAAAACGAGCCCAAAAGAAAAAATACATTAGGTAGGGTTTTGGAGATATGATTCTGATCCTCTGGTTTCAGATGGACAACATAGATGAGTAGCAGGCAAAAGCCTTTTCAAGTTATATTTGTTGCTTTGCATGTGCACACGCATACACACAGATGTATATGACACATACTATGCATCTATCCATGCACCAGTAATTGCATTCTATGTTTTTGCTTTTCTTTTCTTTAGGTGTCACTGGTTTGTCACAACATAAACAGTCTTTTCTGCAGATCTCACCTCTGCCTCCTTTCTTCTCCATGCAGAATTAGCCAATTATTTCCCCAAAGAGGGAGGTAGTAACGTTTTGTTTTGTGAGCAATGAAATAATTAGGTCTCTCAATACATTGAAAAAATGTAATGAGGCAAAAGCTATAGGTGCATTTTAATACTTGTAGACACTAATTTCAACAGGATTCTAAACTTTTAAGGTTGCACTGAGTTGCAATTCCTTTCTGTTCATAATACTCACTGCTATTTAATACCACTCTTTGCACAAAAACCTGGCACGGCTGCCATAGTAACTGTGACATTGCAGGTACTGAGCTGTTGATTTAAAAATCACTTAACTATGTTTGGGGAGGGCTGCTGTCCTCATGGGGATGAGCAAAGAACTGGGCTTCTTCATAAGCCTCTACTGCTACAAGCTGATGGCTCTAATCCTGAAATGAGGGAGGCAGCTGTGTCAGCAGAGCTCTGCATTGAAATCTCTGAGACTCCCACTGCTACATCTGAGCCTGGGTTTGCAAACTAAACTGTTAGTGATGAAGGAGGCACTGGTCCATTTCTGGAGTTCAAAACACCTCTGAGCAGAGTGGTTGTGGGTCAAGCTGCTCACTGGTAACAGCCATTGATCCTTTTGGAAGCAGCTTGCAGGCTCTGCTGTGCTTGAATGGCAAGAAAATTGACCTTCTTGGAATTAATTTCTGAAATTGCATTATACATCCCTAGCAACTTGAGCTGGAACTTGCTCTTGTAGCCTCCTCAGGGTCCCTTAGCACTGATGAATTTTTCTCTATACTTGTTATTGAAAATCCACAACCTTGTTATTTTATTTCTATTTAATAGGAAGAGAACAGAGTAGCTGGAGGTGTGGACAAATCACTGAACCGTCCTACTAATGTCCCTTGAATATTCCATGCATGGGCCATGCCTTAGGGATCACATTCTGGATAGCAATGCTAATCCACAATGACAATTTTGCTAAATATTTAGGAAGCAGAGAAATTACTAACACAGAAGACTGCATCTATTGCTGGTGTATATAAGTAAGTGTTAAGTAGAGTAGTTGTGTTCCAAACCACTGTCTGCAGCACCTAGTTCTCTGAAGGTAGGACTCGGCAATCACATGATATTTAATATGTGATTAGTCTTTTATGGGAATAAAGAAAACATCACTGATGTCATCAGCCCACAGAAGTTCCTATTGTTTTCATTAGCAGATCTACATGCTGAGCAATTTCAGGAGTGAGGTCTAAAGATGGAATGAAATGATGTTAATTTAGGTTGATTTCTTAAGTTTCAATTTGCATGTTTGCTTTTTCCAAAATTGACCTTGGGTTTGAGAGAACTCCAGATAAAGCAAAACTACTAAACCCATTACTTTCTGGTGACTACCAGTCTAGTTATACCAATGACGACTACTTCTAGGTGCTTAAAACTTCTACGGCTTGATTCTGGCCTACCAAATTCACGAGTCTTTCCATCCCTGCTAGCAGAATCTGAATTAAGCTTGTACAGCATTTTTTGTTCTTTAGGTTCTGTTTCACGAAGAAAAGTCTATGTTATCATCTCTGTTTTACAGATGGGTAAAACTACCATGCAGTGAAGTGACTTGCCCACTGCTATGTAAGAGGTTATTTACAACAAAATCTTCTGACTCTCAGCTTGGCACCTTATCTCCATAATTGTCGTATCTGTGAATACCTAGTTAACTGCACCAGCTTTAAACATTCTCCTGCAGAGATTTGGCTGAGAGGCTAAAGAAAGTATTCAGCAGATCTCCCAGGTGAGTAGTTTGTTTCACAACTACCTCATCTGTGTGGTTTCCACTTTCTTTTTTTCCTGTCTCATCTATCTCCATTTGCAGAAAAGTACTATTAAAATGCCTCAGGTGTTTCCAAGCAAACACTGAAATTCAAAATGGGGGGGAGAGATTCTGGGGAAAAAAAAAAACAACTTAGGAGAACTGCTGGATTTTGCATTAGTATACTCTGCTTATTGCGTGCGAAGCACAGTAGAGACTGCCCATGTACTTGCTCCATGGCTCATCTCTTCTGTCATAGCAAATGGTTGCACACTGTCATAGTGACTTTACCAGTGTTGCTGGTTTTGATTATGAGCTAGAGTCTGACACTGAATCTCCACCTATTTGAACTGCATCTTACGTTCAGAGTATCAGTGGACATAATTGTATGATATATTCATTGACCTCAATCTATGCTTGGAAATACGGCACTTGTACAGAAGTGGTTCCTACACTGGGAAAGTCATCCCAGTCCTCTTCCCTTAAGCAAACACTGCCATTCTCCAACAGCTGCCAGGAAACAAGATCCTGGTCTACCCTTCTTACCTTAGATGTCTTCAGAAATTGTGTGTGGGCCAGGGATGGTCCCAACTCACACTGCTTCCCCTTGGCATTGTAGCTGCCTCCCCTCCTTTGTCTCCCATGTGTCTACAGAGCTGTGAAATGGTCACTTACCACAACGACTGGATGAATTGAAAGGCACTCTCAGGGTGGATCATTTTCAGTCCTTACAGGATTAGAAATCCAATGCCTTTTCCAGTCCTTATAGGAACTTTTGTAGGTCGTAACCACTTTGAAACAGGACTGAGAGAAACTCCACAATTCATAGCATGGTATCCACGCATATTTACCCATGAGTCAATATCTGACTACATGAACCATGCCAGATTCTTTGATGTTGTGCTAAAGAAGATGGGGTCTTCTCAGCCCTAGATCAGAAACACAGCAATTGAGAGACATAGTGCTGTTTCCTTTGGTCACGTTAGGTCACTGGCAATCTCTTCCAGAAGAACACAGACTGTCTTCCTCCCAGCTACCCTTGTTTAAGGATTAAAAGATACAAGGACCCAGCTTGAATACCTACAGCTTCCCTGAACAGCCATTTGCCATTCCGCAAAGGCTCAGGGGACTTCAAGATTCTGCAGCCCTGTTACAAAGGAAGGGGTTGACAAGCAGGAGCAGCTGAGTGCAAAACGGACAGAACTGAGAAAGGAAGTTGCTTGAAAGATGAAGATCTTTCTACTGGGAAGACCTTGTCTGACTAAAGTTACATTCCACACCACTACCCCATGTACACCTAAAAATGAATTTACAGCTTGTCTGCCTCTCAACTGTGCTCTTATAGCCCTGATCCCAAACCTAGGATTGCAATTATTACAGTCTGTGGATAGTCCCACTCCTGATCAATTTAGTGTGTCCTTTGGTTCTCATTCAGAGCTTGAGGGTCATTTTCATTTGCTCATTTTTAGCCCGTCACTAACCCTAACATGCACAGTAGCTGCCTGAAGTCTCTTATGAAGAAGGATCTCCATGAGGTCCCTCACAACAGAGACCTTTAATCCAAGTGGATCCCTGAAGAAAGTAATGGTACTTTGTCCATTGAATGAGTTAATTACTATTCTGTTTTTCAGTCTTCTTGCACTTTTCTGGTGATATAAAAGGGCTGTAATGTGGCAGACGTTAGTTGTGTCAT